AAAAAAAAATTAGAGTATATTAAATAAACAAACATAATAATAAAATAAATTAATAAAAACATAAAAAATTACATATTACATGCCAGTACATAAAAATATGTTATAAAAAAACTACTGATATCCCAACAAAAACACTTCGTCGACTCCGTGTAAAAAATTGCTAAGTAAAAAAACACTAGTCATCTATAARGGTACGGTTTCCTAGACGCGACCGGTCGCCGCGATTGGTCGCTACGACCTGTCGTTGGTGCGTGCTGGTTTCCCAGGCGCGACTGGTCGCCGAGACCAGTCTCCGGTGACGTAAAAAAAAACTATCAAATTATGTATCTGTATCATTATTAATCAGTATCATTGTGGTTTTCGTGCAGTGAGTGCTAGTGTTTTCAAGTTAAAATTTATATTTATTATGAGTATGAATACAATTATTAACAATAATAAAATTATGTTACTTCTTCTCGAGGAAGAGGACGATGATTTATTAATATCAACACAATCAGAACAGAGAGAAAAAGTTGATGCACTTTTTCTTAATAGGAAAACTGAAGGATACTTTGAAATTTTAATAAAAAGACATTTATTACGAAATGAAACAAAATTTCGCGAGTTTTTCCGTGTTAATAAAAACCAATTTGAGTTCCTGTTGTCACTTGTCGAGGTACAATTAACAAAATTGCCTAGCAACCGAGTGAAGAAACCTATAACAGCCGAAGAAAAATTGGCATTGACATTAAAATATTTTTATAGTATTTAGATATTTATATTATTTTTATTCACACTTATCACATTTATTTTAACTACACTAAAAACTGGATGTATCACCATATTTTTATTTTTTATTTTTTAGGTACATGGCAACTGGGGAATCGCTTCGATCACTGGCCTTTGGTTTTCGAGTATGTCATAGCTACATCAGTATAATAATAAAGCAGACCTTGTCAATTTTAAAAGAAAAGTTAGTTCCAGTTTTCTTACCGGATTCATCTCAAATTGATTTWAAAAAAAAGGCTGATGAATTTTCCTATAAGTGGAACTTTCCTAATTGCATACTTGCCATTGATGGTAAACACGTACGTATTCGAAGTCCACACAATTCGGGGTCTCTATACTTTAATTATAAAGATTTTTTTTCAATCGTTCTCTTGGCAATGGTCGATGCAAATTATAAATTCGTCATTGTTGATATTGGCTCTTATGGGAAAGAAGGCGATAGTAGCATTTTTCTTAAATCTCTTATTGGTCAACAAATTTTAAATGGGTCATTTAGATTCCCWGAAGAAAGTTCACTTCYAGGTTCTAACATTGTTGTGCCTCACGTTATTATTGGAGATGAAGCATTTCGCTTGCACCCAATTATAATGAAGCCATATTCTAGAAAATCTAGTATGGGAGATGCCTCTAAAAAAATATTTAATTATAGATTAAGTAGAGCAAGGCGTGTCACTGAAAACGCATTTGGTTTATTGAGCCAAGTATTCCGTGTTTTTTACCAACCAATTAATATTGAAAGTACAACATGTGACAACTTAATATGGGTAGCTTGTTGTTTACACAACATGTTAAGGGATGGATATTTAGAAGGCAACAGACAGCCGCATTACGAATATGACTGTGAACAAACTTCGCCAACGAATAACATGCTGGAATTAAATCGAGTAGGAGGATTTTTTAATATGCATGGATTTGAAGTGAGGGATCGATTTAAACATTTTTTTAACCATGAAGGAGCATTAAATTGGCAGAACAACACAATATTTTTAATTTATTATTATTTATTATTACTAATACTATTATTATATTTGATTATGATTTCAATGAACTTGTATATTATTTTATTAACAATTTATTAATTTTACAAAGATGTGTTAAAAGATTTTAATTATTTGTTAATTATTTTATTATCATTTTTTTGTACGTCATTTTGTATTCCTAAGTCACTTGACATGAAAAAATAAGTGGAAGCTGTTGCTTGTGGTTGAAATAAATCTGGTGAGGTCAAACTTTGATTATCTGGCATACTGTATGGAATTGATGATGGTGAACTAGTACTAGAATATTCATAGTTATTGTAAGTTTGAATAGGCAAAAAAGTACTTGAAGTTGTTGCTGAAAATGCACTATATTTGTCCTCAAGTTCGTTAACCATAATTAATGCCTTTAGTTTGGCTTCTTTTATGGCTGCCTGTGGCAGTTTTTTAACACTTAATGCCAAACTTTTAAAAAATAAATCGATATCATCATCTTTGTGTTTTCTGCATTTAAAATTAGCTGATTTTGTTCTTCAATTCGTTTAAATGTCCTGTTTCTTTCTTCTGCCCTTTTTGTGACTAACGCTGACAGCTTGTCTACTTTAAACCGTGCACGCTTATCTACTAGGGAACATCCAGGGGAATAATCTTTATCCTGGAGTGGTAAAACGCCCAAATCTCCATCAACGACCACATCTTCTTCGACATTGTCTTCCTCGCTCTGTGGTATGATGTTGCAAGTAGAACTAATGAAAATATTTATTATTATTATTAATATTAATATTATTAGGTATATGCTTTTGATAAATTGTATTTAAAAAAAAATTTATAGGTACCTCCGTTCGTTTTGAACCGTATTTAGAAAATATGCACGATCTGCTGAAGGTAAACATTTTTTTGATGAAGTTGCAGACCCGGTGCCGAGTTTTCTTTTGCAGCGATTGTGTGAATCGCGTATATACTTCCATTTTTTTTTGCAGTCGTCAACTAAAATAATATAAAATACTACATAATAATTATAATAATAATAAGTTAGTTGGATACTATGTTATTGATTTGTGTGATCCTCAGAGCCCAATTTAGGAATTTTGGGGCCCGGGTCAAATTTTTTAATGGGGCCCCAAAATTAATTAT